CTCAGGTCTCCGTTTGGACAGGTCGACGCCATCGTTCTCGATGTAGTCCGGAGTGGTTTTCTTACTGGCGGTGAAGTTGAAGACGATGGTGTTGTTCTCCTGCTGGTGCCACCTGTCCCTGAGTCCTGCCGTCTTGAGGGGAGGCGTGGAGAGGCCGCCCGCGCCGTTGGTGGAGGCCTGCTTGTTGGAGGTGTTCACGGCCTCCACCAGCGAGCCCTTGCCCGAGGACCGCACCAGCTCGTCGGCGGGAGAGGGCTTGCTGAGCACTGGGGACTGGGGGTATTCGCTTTTGGGGGGGGCCACTTTTTTAGGGGACCACTTAGGGGGCTGCTCCACTTCGGGAGCGGGTTTCACGGGATCCACTTTCGTTGGAGTAGATTTTACGGGATCCACTTTTGTAGGAGTAGGTTTCACAGGATCTACTTTTGTAGGGGTAGGTTTCACAAGTTCGACTTTGGTTTCTTTCAAGGGTTCAACCTTAGACTCTAACCTCGCAGGAGGTTCCACTTTGGCAGTCTGTTGCTGTCTCTGCGGCCGCGACTTTTCCACGTTCTTGAGGTTCTCCTGTAGGACGCGATCACTCTCCTGTGCCCTGTCTGCCTTACTACTGAAGGCTGAGTGGGTGGGCACTCTGTGCGAGGCCACGGGCGAGGCGGGCAGGGGCGTGGGCGTGGGGGAGGAGGGCCTGGCCGCCTGCAGCCCTGACTGCGAGTTGCCAGCAGGTCGAGTGGCAGCAGTGAAGTTGAATTCCTGAGAGTGGCTCTCCTTTCTGATGTTGGACACAGCTGTTTGGGATACCCTCTTCACGCCCTCGTGCGCACTGCCACTTTCGCCGTGGGTGTGGGCGAGGGCAATCCCGGGCTCGCCGTTCACCAGAGGAGCTGTGACCGAAGCGGTGACGGGGGTCAGGCCGGGCCGCACCCTGGCCACACCTGCTCTCTCCTGCACGCCGTTCTGCCCTTCGCCCGCGTCGCCGTTCTGAGCGGTGGCCCGCACGCTGAGGGTGGGCCTGGGGGACGCCCGATTCACCTGGCCCACCTGCCGCAGGGACGACTTGGCCTCCTCGATCGTGACGGGCAGCGAGGGGGAGGTCGGGGAGGAGACCTTGCCTGGGGGCACCACCGAGGGCTTGGCTTTGAGGGCGGGCTTGGCCACGGGGCTGATGCCATTGGTCTTGGAGGCCTGCTGGGCTTTGTGGGCGGCCACGCGGGCGGCAGCACCACGCAAGGGGCGCCCTGCCAAGGGCTCGAACATCCGCTTGACCTGCCGCACTGTGTCGGGAGGCGGCATCTCTTCGTCCTCGGCCAGGCTGGAGGACGACAGCTTGCGGGTGAGAGGAGGCGGCTCCCCCGCATCCACCGTCCGGGCACCGCCGTTCACTGCCTTCTGCTCTTTGCCAACAGGTCTGGTCGTCTCTATGATGATGACGTCATCCTTGCCCAATGCACATAGACTAGATTGCAGGCGACTGGTTGCTGACTTGCTTTTGGGCAGACCCGCGCTTCTGCCCCTACCCACCTCCTCGGTTAGCCTACTGCTCAGTGAGTCCACAGAACGAGCTCTTTTCATCACATCCCGTCTGTGTGTGGCAGCGGTTTCTGGCACTGCGCGGGCCTTGACATCCGCGGTGCCACGCTCCTGCCACGGCCCACGGGGCTCAGTGTCTAACAAGTCCTCAAGGGAGCTGAACCGCCGCAAAGAAGGTCGGGCGCGGCTCTCTCTCATGGCAAGGCTCATGTACCGGTTCTTAAGTTTGGACACAATGCCCGGGCCATAACTAAGTTCCTCGTCTTCTTCCTGCCCGAAGGAATCACTGTACGAAGAATAAGTGGGCGAGGATACCCGAGGGCCCTCATCATTCAAGCCCTTATGATGCATGTTGCTGGCTATGTTGGCACTCGATATCTCACTCGTTACAGCATATTTCTTGTTCTCATTTCTCTCACCACCACTACCGCCACTCGCACGAACACCGTCCAAACGTGAACTGACCGCGTTGCTGTTCGCATGGGTCGGCGGGTGGGGGTGGGAGGGGGGCGGCCCACTCAGCGAGCGTGACACCGCCTGGTGGGGGCCACTCAGCGAGGATGACGAGGGCTGGGCGCGGCCACTCAGCGAGCCTCGTCCACGACCCGCCATCGGAGGGGTGGGAGTCGGAAGACCAAATCCTCCATGCATTCTCACATTGGCTCTCTTCCGAAGGATCAATTCGCGTTTCCATGATGGGAGGTCGTCCAGCGGGGTTTCCTGTCCACTTATACATCCTTGCATTGTAGTCATGACAAAAAGTCCAAGGGTCTTATCAGTAAAACATCCGTTACTTTGAGATATCACTTCCTGAGTAGTTTCACACCACACACTTCACCATTGCTTGTATAGGACTTGCGACCATGCGTGACTAGAGTATTATACTATATAAACAAGAGTTTCACTAAGAAACTGCAAATATTTTACACACTATTTCATAATTTGTCTTGAGGTGTCGCAGACAGGCGATCGC